CCAGGAGGAACAGACCACTGGAAGGGCTGGTGTCCATGGACTTCACGTTCAGAAGAGAAGTTAGATCTTCCAGGGAATCGCAATGTTGTGGCGTCTGACTTGTATGTCATGTTTGTGTAAAATGGTATATTCTTTAAAATAGTGTTGATAACTGGAATATTGTATGTATGCTTGGAGATGCTTTGTGTGAACCTAAGACTGTCACTCAACAGATGTTGGATTGGGGAAAATCCAAAGCACAACTTCAAAATAAAATACATTTTTAGGTTTCGATGCTGCAGTTCATATCCCCTTCCCCACTCCCTGCAATTTCTGAGTCAGGAATACAACGACCCAGAAAGAATTGTGATTTGTTCATGCAAACAGCCTGCCAGGCAACAGGAAGGATGAGGTGACCTTAGATCCAGCCACCTTCTCTCTCCCCCACCAAGGCATAGCAGCATTACATTTAGAATGTGGATTTTCTCCCCCCAGCATTTCCATTTAGCCCAGGTGTGGAACTTAAGAGATTTGTAAACCATTGGGCAGTCTGTTGCCATGAGAACCGTTTCCTTCCTCCACTTTCCCTGTTATCAGTGAGGACTGTTCTCATTTCTATCTTTAGTCAGAATCTCCCACTTGGAGGAACGAGGCCTGAGACGCTGATTGGAAATTTTGCCAGCTAAGGGAAGCCAGAGGTTCTTTTTCTGCCACAACCAGAGCCCTGAGTCCTTCTGCCATTGGCCCATCCCTGCATCTGGGGGAAGGGCTAACCAACATATCTGACTGCTGGTGGGGTGGAGGATACCAGGCCTGCTTTCTCTCCTATAGATTTGGATTTAACAAAGTCAAAGGGAAAAGTTATTCAAAGGTAACAATTTAATGCTTCCTGGCCATGAGATGAACAGTTTGAGTCTACCATGCACTCCTGCCTGGGTGTGCTGCCAAAGGCCCAAAGCAACTGATTGTAGACTGGCTCCCTGGAGGCTTCACTTCCTACAAGAGGAGGAACTGGGTCTGCAGGTAGGGTATTCTTGGGGTTTTTGTTTGTTTCGGTGATAGTGGGATTGAACTCAAGGGTGCTTTACCTCTGAGCCACATCCCCACCCTTTTTATTTCTTATTTAGAGGCAGGGTCTCACTGAGTTGCTTAGGGCCTCACTAAGCTACTGAAGCTGGCTTTGAACTTGCCATCCTCCAGCCTCAGCCTCCCCAGCTGCTGGGATTACAGGTGTGAGCCACCCTGCCCAGCACCTTCATGGTCTTCTAGGGATTTAATCACTGCCATCTGCTAGTTGTTCTTCTTGTATTCAGCTCTGTCATGCCCTTCCAACCTGATGCCTCTCCCACTTCCCCACTTAAATGGAATAGCTACATCTTGAGATTCTCTTGCTGGGCGCTTGGTCTTGGGAAGGTCAAAGCTAAGGCTGCTCCACCACCCTGTGATATGAATGAGTTCCCCCTCCCAGCATAGGTGGATGGAGGTAGAGTGGGAGTGGGGGACTGGAGCACTTGTGTAGCTAGGAGATGGAGCAGTTCTTAGGCTGTGAGCGGAGGACCAAAGAGACTTTAGAGAGTCCTAAGGTAAAGGCTGTGCTTTGGATCCTCTTCTATATATTCTGACAGAAGCTTGATGGAAGTGGGGGAGGGGCACTGAACAATCTAAAAAGCAATCCCATTTCACCTAGATTTAAACCAGAAAAGGAGACCAGGTGGGTATTAGTTTAGGAAACAGTATCAAAAGATTATCTAATCTAAACCATGCACGGTGGCACATGCCTGTAATCCCAGAGACTCAGGAGGCTAAGGCAGGATTGGGAGTTCAAAGTCATCCTCAGAAATTTTAGTGAGGCCCTAAACAACTCAGTAAGACACTGTCTAATAAAATATTAAAAAGGGCTGGGAAGGTGGCTCATTGGTTAAGTGTCCCTGGGTTCAACCCCCAGTACCAAAAAAAAAAAAAAAAGCTAATCTAAATGTTTATTTAGTTATAGGAAGTTTCCTTTTACCCAGAAATTAACCCTGTCGGACTACATATGACAAAGACTCAATAACTAGCCAACTGACAAACTTTAAGCCTCACCCTTCTACAAGCACCGCTATACAGTATTGCCTAGGAAAAACAGGACCGGAGCTAGAGAGGAAAAATGTGTTAATACGTGATAAGCAAAAGAAGCAACATGACAAGATAACACGAGTGCGTGCTGGGGTGGGTCAAGAAGACCATTGTGGCAGGAAGGGAGTGTTGTTAGGAAACCAAGAATTCTGCCTGGGCTGGCAAGACTGAGGTGACTCGTACACATCGGTGTGGAACAAATTTAGGAGCTACTACCTTATAGATGTATTCAAACTCTTGAGAGTCCCTGGAAGAATCTGTAAATGAGAAGGTCCCAACAATTAGAAATCCAGCAGGGGGGAAGGACCAAAAGAGACAGAAGAAGCAAGGCATGGGGAAGTAGGTGGTTGGGAGAACACTTATCGCAGAAACAAGAGAAAGCGGTGTAGACCAGGAGAGAGGGACCAACTTGAGTGCCAGTGGGGTAAAGTGAGACTGGCATAGAAGGTAGTGACCTGGACAAGAGTATTTTAGTAGAGGAGAAATTAATCTAGGTGGCATGGATTGAGCAACAATGAGAGGGGAAGGGAGTTGGGAAATCTCAGCAGCTCAGCAAATGGGAAGCATCAAGATTGGTGAGAGGACCAAGTTTTTGTCCCCCAGATGGACAGAGCTGAGGCAGTTCTGCTTTATGAGCAGGACACAGCAGGACAGGAAGAAGGAGTTCGATGGAGAGAGGGGTGGGTTATAGGGACTAGGTGGAGGGGTGGCTGGGCCTGTCTCTTGGGAGGGAAGGCAGGTGTGGGTGCAGACACAGGCAGTGTGGATGTGGGGCGAGGAAGTTTTTATTGCTGCTTTTATTTCAGGGAAGTTGAAAGCAAGGTCTTTGGCTGAGAATGTGGCAGGGAATGGTGCAGAGGAGGCTTGAAGAGTCAAGAAAATGAGGAAGAAGGATGATGCAGGATGGCTCAGGGGCCAGAATTCTCCCACAGCCCCTTCCCCACAGCCTAGGGGCACCAGGTCTGTCTTCAGTGTCTGTCCCTCCTTCTGCAACAAAGCTTCTGGCCAGAGTTGACTCCTGGAGATGGCAGGGAGCAGGGCTCTGAGGCTTTGTTACACCTGCCCCTATAGGGCTCCCCTTCCACATACTGCCCTGGTTCTTCCCCTCCCCTTTAAGGCACTACACAGGTAAGTCTGCTGGGAAAAACTGGTGTGGGCCACGAACGGACAGGAAAAAAAATTTTTTTTTCTTTATTTTGGTGGTTTTGGTGTTTAGGGCTAGCCTCAAGCACACTAAGCACAGGCACTACTGCTAAGACCCCAGACCCTATTTTTTTTTAAAGGATGGGGTCTGTCTATATTGCCCAGGCTAGCCCTGAACTCCTGGGCTCCAGTGATCCTCCCTGTTTGGCCTCCCAAGTAGCTGGGCCTACAGGCACACACCACCAAGCCCAAAACAAGTTAATTTCTATTCAGAGCCTACCAGGTCCCAGGCACTTCATCTCATTATGCTTCACACCAACTCTTTGAAAAAGGTTGAGTGACTTGCTCAAAGTCATTGTCTCTTGCAAGGGAAGGCAGAGCCAGATGTCAGCCTCTGGGCTGATGTGGCTAGCTCCCGCCCTTCCCTCCACACCACTGCTTTGCAGAAGGTACATATGAGATTCCTTCTGCCCCCAGAGCTGCCATCAAGAAACCCACCCCCACCCTGCTAGCCCTTCCTGTCTATGGTCCTTGGGCTACCTTTGAATTGCCACTTCTATTTCTATGATTCCTCAGAGCTACTTGGGAAATGCAGTGAGGCCTCTTAGACTTCTCAGTCTTCTCTCCGGGAGGCCTGCATGTTCCAGCACCTCCCCAGACAAAATAGCAGCCACGCTGCCCAGTCAGGGCTCATTTCTTCATCTTGTCCACACAGAGCATGTGTCCCCAAAGGGATGCCCCATGAAGCTTGATCTGCCTCTAGCCCGGATCCACCTCCCCCCTTCTTTTCACAGTGCCTGAACAAGTAACCAGGCACACTCTGCCCATTATTCTGCGCCTCTGCACAGTCCTCTCTGCCTCAAACTTCTTACCTCCAACTCCCCCTTCTTTAACTCCCCTCTTTCCAAAGTTGGGTCAAGCAAACCTTCTTGACTGGCCAGCCCTTCTTGACTCCCTGCTGTCTCTCTTCTAAGAGCCACCAAATCACCATCTGCTGAAGTATATACGTTAGCACATATAAAGCACTCCCAGAACCCCTCGGAGGACACCTAATTCTCCCCTTTGCAGATCCTGAGCACATAGTGTCTGCTTTACAATGGTGCTTTACGGTTGCAATTGAAGCTGCTAGAGACACTGAAAGAGACTGGGCTTGCTAGAGAGAGGAAAGTAAGAGCGCTGATTCATCAGGGGAAAATGTGTAGCATTTAGCTTATAACGCAATCTTCAGTGGCCTAAAACAAGTTTGATTTCTCACTAAAACTAAAGGTCCCCTGTTGGCCGGCAGGGGGCGCTGTGCTTGAGAAAGTAACCCGGGACTAGACTACCACGTTTAATAGAATCTCCTTGCTGGAGGATAGGAGCTCTAGGGGGTCTTGCCGCAGCAACTAAATGCTTTGATTGGGATGTCACCTGCTTCTCTTCTTCCCCAGTCACAGAGCCAAGGAAGTTCAATTTTCCCATATGCCAAGCAGGAATACAGGGTGGAGCACTTGGCTCTCAGGAGCATTCCTCCTGGCCCTGCTATGAAAACCCACAGCTGCCTTGTTATCAAGTAAATCATGTTATCAAGTAGATTGATCTGAGCAGGAGGCAGTTTGCTCTTGCTCCTGAGCTGGTGTCACTGTGGTAGGGGTGTGGCTGGCAGAGGAAACCACCAGGTGTGGCCATGGGAAAGTCCCTCCAATATTCTATAGAAACATGGAATTTCCTGGTTTTAACCATTTCTTATTCAACTGCTATCTCAGAGCTGATCAGAGCAGCACAGACCTCTCCAGCTTCCCAGGACATTTGATTCTAGGGTACTGGGTCTTGTCTGGGAAGCTGGCACACCTGCATTCCAGCCCAGCAGTCTGTGAGGATTATGGTCCAATAACTAAATGTGTGTGAGCTTCAAAACCTTCAATGCCTGTCTGAAAAACGCTGTCCAGTCTCCCAGGCTTTTGTGGATTTACTGTTCTGACTTCCATAAGCCCAAGGAATGTGTGCACCCTCATGCTGTGGCTGAGAAAGTGGATTGGGAGGGCTTGTATGTTATGCTCCAGGTTACACTGGAGTACTTGACTTGGGTTCCAGTGTTGCCCCTGGGCCTCTGTGGGTTCCTGGGAAGGCAAGTCAGATTGGACTTCTCCTAGAAGTGGCAAGGTACACTTCCTGGACCTCCCTGGGGCTCTAGGGTGTGGGAACTCCATCTTCCCAGCAGCTCTCCACTTGGTTAACTTGCCCAACCTGCTCTGGGGATTCTAGGTAGAGACCTGAAATTCCCTGCTCCAATGAACTGCAGGAGGTGCCAAAACATGACCCAGTGGCCTGCCACAGATCCCCAGGCCTAGTTCCTGGCCTCTTTGTGGCTCGCACTCTAGTTCTATTGCCTCCACTTGAGAACTCAAAGCATCCTCTTTCTCCTTCCTGCTGTGGTGTCGGTAGCAGCCAAGCTGCCTGTCTCTTTAAGAGAGAGAGAGAGGGAGAGAGGTGGGGAGGGAAAGAACGAAATCAGGAAGTAGGAGAGAGCCCAGAGCCAGGGCTCTACAGAGCAGGGTGTCAGGGCTGGCAGGGAAGAAACCTGTAATCCCAGCTCCCAGCCGTCACAGGGCCATTTCAACTAGCCCTGCCTGTGTCCCAGGGTCCTTGACTATCAAGATGTTGTGGGTACTGCCCAGGAATAACTGCTGCAAGCCTTGAGGGTGCCAGGGGTGCCACCCCCTCCTACAAGTGGGCATCCCCTGAAGCCGCGATGGGGTGAGTATGCAGCATCCCCTGGGAGGGTGACATGGGGATCCTGGGCATGGGCAGTGCAGGGTAGGGCTCAGCCGAGGCAGGCACATGAGCAGAGGAGTGGCTCAGGGGGCCCAGCGCCCACTGCCTGTGCTCTCTGTGGCTACTGGGGGGAGGGTGGTATCCTGCACACCTTCCCTGGTGGACACTCTTGGGAAGGACTATCTGGAGGCCAGTGAGCCCCAAGGAGGGTTGTGGCATACAAGAACACCCCATCAGCTACCAGTGCCCCTTTCCTGGGCTTCCCCACACCCCGAAGCTTCCCAACACCTCTCCTTGGGGTCTTTCTCACTGGCCGGAATCCTAGGAGTAGGAGTGGTCAGGAAAGGCTCCCAGAACAGCTGGGGAAGAAGACTGGAAACCACCCCCCAGCCCTGTGGGGGAGGTGACAAACAGGAAAGGGTTAAAGGGCTGGGGTTGGTGGCCTTTGATGGGGGCTGAGAATCAAAAAGCACCAAGGGGGCCTCTCATCCGCCCTCCTCTTTCCGGTGTAGCTCAGCTCCTGGACTTGCCACAGACAGAGAGCATAACACATACTTGCCAGGGAGAGCCTGATTCAGGGCCACTCAGAGCGTGGGGTAAGTGCATCTGGCCACGGAAGAGCCCGAGGAGGGCGGGGAGGCCACGGGTGGGTCAGCGCACCTTCTGTGCCGTCGTCCATCCATTGTTCATCCGTCGTCCATCCACTCAATAAAGGCTACTGAGCCCTCTGTGCACAGGTGCCGGGGCAGACTAGAGCCAGATGTGCCACAAGCAGAGCTCCTAGGCACAGAACCCAAGGCTCTGTCGCTCACCGTGAGGCCCTGCCTTTTGCACCACACTGCTGGTCATCCTAGGTCCTCAGCTGTTCCTGGCCACACCCTGCACAGGGGTTGTGTTGCACTAGCCCAAGGAAGAATGATGAAGGTCATGCAACCTGGTGGGTCATGCAACCTGAGCTCCCCATGCTGGGGCCCTTGGGCTTGATTTCAGTGTGCTCTGCCCCAGTGTCACACCCCAGACCCCCAGCTGACTCCTCCCAGGGCAACCTGGCCAGTTCATCCATAATGAGCTGCTACGTAGTCCCAGTGCCTCAGTTGCTTCTGCATTATGCAAACACAAGTTTCAAGTCTGAAACTCGGACTTGACCAATGAACTGGACTTGACCAATGGTCTCTGACTCAAGGAGCTGACATACTCAAGGATTTGCATTTTCAAAAAAAAAAAAAATGATTAGACAGAGAAAAGGCTTAAAGCTAAGCAACATAGGATTCCAGGCCTGGGATATGAGAGCAGTAGTAGGCCCTTGTCTAATCTAGGATTCCTTCCCAGATGCCCTCAGGCATTTCAAAAATGGCCAGTCCTGACCTAATACTTCAGACAAGCATTGAGATTGACTTCTAAGGCTACCCTTTCTGGAATCAGTTGCTTTAAAGGAACTGGCCTTTGGAGAAAACAGGACAGGAGAAAAGATGGGGAACAGGGCTGTAGAGGGGTTTCATATCCTCCTCAGGGCTTGTGTTTGATGGTCTCTGGCCTTCCCCACCCACTGCCTGTTCCCTGTCCCTCTCCTCCTCTCTCTCTCCCTCTCTGTAACAGCACTGACCTGTATGCTGGTGACCTGGTGAGCAGCTGTTAGCTCAGGGCAGAGGAAGTGGGGGCCGGGCAGTCAGGCAGTGGGTGGTGTGGGGGCTCCAGGCTCATGTTGCAATCTTGGAGATTTGTGGTGGTGTGACTGACCTGAGGCCCTTCCTCCTGCACTGTTTCTGCTTCCTGGGACAGTCCCAGGCCTGGATGCCAAAACCCTACAGTCTGGAAGAAGTGATGGAGTAAAGAAGCTCGTCTCTGCAGAATGGGAGGGGCTAGGGGACACTGAGGAGTGAGTACAGACAGATGGCCCTGTGGGTAGAACAGGCCCAGCTATGGGCTGAGGGCCCAGCAGGCCTCCTCTTGGTTATGCTTCATTTGGAGGAAGTTACTTAACCTTTCTGTGCTTCCAACTTCCCCACTCCTGTAAAATGACCATATGGAGCTCTTTCTGGGGTGGCCTTGGACTGGCCATCAATGTCCATTCCAGGTTAGGAATAGAATCCTGGGGTCCCCCACGTGTACTTTTCCAGGGAGAGGAGATGCAGAGCACCGCCAACTACCTGTGGCACACAGATGAGCTGCTGGGCCAGGGCGCGACTGCCAGTGTGTACAAGGCCCGCAACAAGGTAAGTGGCAACCCTGTGGGGGCCACTGTCTGGCCAACCCAGCCCACCCCCACTACCCTGTGCCCAGCAGGAAGCCCTAGCAGCCTCCGGTGGGCCTGGAGGTGGTGTGTGGCTGGACAGGGACATCAGACTCGTTGTACCCACTTGGGAGGAAGGACCCCATTGATTTGGGCAGTGGGGAACTAAGTAGGTACGAGTTAGGACAGGAGACAGATGACAGCACAAAGCAAATATCCAGGGGGAGGTGATAGCGAGTGGGATCTAGGAATAGCAGAGGTGGGAAGCAGGATGCCTGGGTTTATCCTGTATCCGCTGTGGAGCCAGATCATTATATATAAGGCTCCCCTCTCCTATGTGGGAGTTGGATTCAGGTAGCCCAGGTTCTAATCCCAGCCCTCCTGCTGAGTGCCTTTGCAGTTAGTATCTATGGCAAGAGTAACAGTTGTCACAAGCCATCACCTGTAGGGTCTTGGGTGTGTCAAGCCTTTGTCACCTCCCAGGGCCTGACCATCTACTGCCTGAATAGGGGAAGGACCTGCGGGTAGGAGCCTGCTTCCTCTCCTTAGGTTTGGCTGCTGGGAGTCTGAAGAGGAGCCCCAGAGAGCGTGGAGGCTCCTCAGCAGGGGTGGGACCTGCATTGTCCCAGGCCACTTCCCAACCTTCCTCCCCATGGCAGAAATCCGGGGAGTTGGTCGCTGTGAAGGTCTTCAACACCGCCAGCTACCTGCGCCCCCGCGAGGTACAGGGGAGAGAGTTCGAGGTCCTGCGGAAGCTGAATCATCAGAACATCGTCAAGCTGTTTGCAGTGGAGGAGACGGTGAGTCCTGTGATGGGTCAAGTTGGATGGCCTTGTTCTTGATCCTCAATCTGGGGAGAGACTTGGTCACCTGCTAATCAAAAAGTCAAGACCAGGGAGGAGGCAACTGGAGAGCAACATGTTGAGCGAAACAAGTTAGTCTCAAAGTCAAGGGCAGAATGTTGTCCCTCATATGTGGAAGCTAGAGAGAAAAAAAAATACTAAAAGAACCTTGTGAAAATAGAAAGAGTTTAGGAAGGGGATAGGGAGGGAGGAGAGGCAGAAAAGGGAAAGATCTGGGGAATGAAGTTGATCAATCTATGCCATATGCATAAATGAATAGGTCACATGAATCCCACTACTGTGTAGAATCATAATGCACCAATTAAAAAAAAAAACAAAAACTCAAGGGTGGGTGGGACAGCACGTCAGAATGCATGAGGGAATCATTTCCTAATGAGAAGGCTTCCTGTGAAGGGTGGCCTTGGATTCTGGCCTGTGGGATCCATGTAAGACCAAAGAGGGAAGGCCAGGCCAGAAGCTGCTAGAGCTCTGGGCTCTACTCACGGAGCCACCTCTTCTTGATGGGGGGAGGGGAAGTGCCCTCCACCTCAGCCTTCCTCTGTCCTGGCCACAGGGGGGTGGCCGGCAGAAGGTGCTGGTGATGGAGTACTGCTCTAGCGGGAGTCTGCTGAGCGTGCTGGAGAGCCCAGAGAACACCTTCGGGCTGCCGGAGGACGAGTTCCTGGTGGTTCTGCGCTGTGTGGGTAAGCCCGCCCTGTCCCCAGCTCCCATCGGACCAGCCATGGCCTGGGACCTCCACCCAGGGGGGTAGGACATTCTGAAACAAGTAATCCCAACCCAAATGAGCATTCTCGAGGGTCTCCATTTATAGTACTGAGACAAATGGGCAGAACCCAGGTGTCTGATTCCTGTTAATCATTCAGCTTCAAACTATAATTTAAAAATAAATTTTAAGCCTGGTGCGGTGGCTATAATCCCAAACCTATAATCCCAGCTGCTCCAGAGGCTGAGGCAAGAGGATTGCAAGTTCAAGGCCAGCCTCAGCAACTTAGTGAGGCCCTAAGCAACTTAGCAAGACCCTGTCTCAAAATAAAAATATAAAAAGGGCTGGGAATGTGGCTTGGTGGTTAAGTGCCCCTGGGTTCAATTCCTAGTACAAAAAAATAATAAAAATAAATTTTAAAAAGAGTGAATGCCTATATATAATCAGCATTATTCACAGGGCCAAGGGGGGGATATCTAAAAGGATAAAATAATGTACTTGCTTACAGTAGGATCCACTCCAGCCTTAAAAAGGAGGGATATCCTGTCATCAGCTGCAGTATGCATGCACCCAGAGGATACTCTGCCAAACCCAGAAGGACAACTGCATGGTCCCACTCACACGAGCTTCCTGGAGTGGTCAGATCCCTAGAGACAGATGGCAGGATGGTGGTTGCAAGGCCTGGGGGTGGGGTGTTGTTTATTGGATATGGAGTTTCCATTCGGGAAGATGAGAAGATTCTGGAGATAGGTGCTAGTGATGAGCGCTTGGCGATATTAATGTGCTTAATGCGCTGTGCTGTTCACACCAACACAGTTAAAATGGTAAATTGTGTGAACTATCTTTGGCCACAAAAAAATAAGAAGGGGAAAGGCAGGCCCTGGGTTTCCTTGAGAATCCAGATGGAACCTCAATACTCTAGGGTCCTTGGAACGTCCCTCCTTCCCCCGTGCCCATCTCTGTTCTCCTGTTTCTTTTGTGGCCCTGTCATCTGGTGGGAACTCCTGCGGGTCTCCCTGGGGCCAAGGACAGCCTTTTCCAGGGCCAGCTCGCAGCCCTTTGTCTGTCCCCAGTGGCCGGCATGAACCACCTGCGGGAGAACGGCATCGTGCACCGGGACATCAAGCCTGGCAACATCATGCGCCTCATTGGGGAGGAGGGACAGAGCATCTACAAGCTGACAGACTTCGGGGCTGCCCGGGAGCTAGATGACGATGAGAAGTTCATCTCTGTCTACGGGACAGAGGAGTACCTGGTGAGTGACATGTGGGGACCTGCTGTCCCAGGCTGAGGGTCTTTCCCCATGCTGATTACCCTTGATTTGTGCCTTGTTTAGAGCCCTCTAGAAGGGGTTCTTGCCCCTCGTCCTGCTCTCTCAGGGTTATAGCTCCTCCACCCCTGCTATACCCCTACCAGAATTCCTTCTGCTCTTTAAGAGGCCTGCCTAGCCCCCCACGGTTAGCTCCTCGGACCCATCCTCAGGAGGTGAGATGCAACCAGTCAACACCTTCCCCTGTGCAGAGGGTGATGCTCTGGGTAGTGAACACGGTGCCCATTTTTACACTGATAAAGTAAATGGATTCGGAATGGTTCCATGTCCACCAGAAGTCCACAGAAGGTGCCCCCTGCCCACTGTCCCCCTCCACTGCTGCTCTCTGCTCTCTCTCTCACAGCACCCTGACATGTATGAGCGGGCGGTGCTTCGCAAGCCTCAGCAAAAGGCATTTGGGGTGACTGTGGATCTCTGGAGCATCGGGGTGACCCTGTACCACGCAGCTACCGGCAGCCTTCCTTTCGTCCCTTTTGGTGGGCCCCGGCGCAACAAGGAGATCATGTACGGTGGGCCACAGGGTAGGGAATGAGGGGGTCAGGCCCTGGACTTCCTACTGGCTGACCCTGGCCCTTTCCTCACTGGTCCCTGCTGCCTCCTTTTCCCCTGTCCCCACCCAGGCTCCTCACTCAGACTAGAAGCTGAACTTCCCCTGGCTCTGCGGGAGATGCTCATCCTCCCTTTTCTTGGTTCAGTGTTTCACTTCCCTGGCGCCCAGCTCACCACCTCTCCACCGAGTCTCAGAGAGAATTGCCCAAGGTGGCAGAGTCTGCCAGGGCCAAGGAGGCGCCAGCTCCCAGGTCCAAGGTCTCCTGTG